CTGGAGTTTGCAAAGCAGAATATCAGAAATGAAAGAGCTGCACACAGAATTCCAGAGATGTGCAAAGGGTTCCCCTCATGTATTCAGCAGAGTACTAATAAGTGTATGGATGTGGGGAAACTGTCCAATCTGGGGAAAGGGATGACTGAATGGGCAGGGGAATAGAATTGATAACTTACACAGGGATGGGAATAGTACCTCTTCTAACCAGCCAAATTGAAAATGCTCATAGTGATTCATGGGGCATTGGGTAGAGTGCTCTAAAAGTCTTGCCTCAGTACTGAGGAATAAATATCACCAGACTATCTAACAAATCTTAAAAACAAGACCCAGAAGGATTCAAATGTTTCCCAGTAACTTAATTAAATCTCAGAACAAAACTCAAGAGTATTTATAAAAAATATTCAGCACTCAACAAGGTAATAGTCACAATTTCTGTCACCCAATCAAAAATATCACGCATTGGGAGAAAGCAAAGGGGAAAAAAGAGAGAGGGGGGTGCAAACCAAGAAACAGACACTTAATCACAGAGAACACACTGATGGTTACCAGAGGGCAGGTGGTGGGGCGATAGGTGAAATAGGTGATGGGGATTAAGGAGGGCACTTGTCATGAAGAGCAACAGGTGATATATGGAAGTGTTGAAGAGCTATATCATATACCTGAAGCTAATATTATACTCTATGTTAACTAACTGGAATTTAAATTAAAACTTAAAAAAAATCATACCACACACACATACCACAGACACCACACATATACCACACACACACACACACACACACACAAGACTACAAAACATTACTGAGTGAAATAAAAGACTTAAATGGAGAGATTGGTTCATGGGTGAGAAGACTCTACAGTTAAGATGTCTATACTTGAGAAATTCAGCACACATCATAACAATCCCAGTGGGCAGCCATTATTCATGTCTTTGTTCTCATATATTCAGTAGAAATTGAGAGCTGATTCTAAAAGTCATATGGAAATTCAAGATAAAACAAAAAAATTAAGATATCTAAAAATAAATGCCACTGGGGGTGCCTGGGTGGCTCAGTCGTTAAGCGTCTGCCTTCGGCTCAGGTCATGATCCCAGGGTCCTGGGATGGAGCCCCGCATCGGGCTCCCTGCTCTGCGGGAAGCCTGCTTCTCCCTCTCCCACTCCCCCTGCTTGTGTTCCCTCTCTCGCTGTCTCTCTGTCAAACAAATAAATAAAATCTTTAAAAAAAATAATAAATAAATGCCACTAAAAGTGTATAAGATCTTGGTTGAGATAAAAATAAAATATTATCAAAAATATTAATAAAGGGCGCCTGGGTGGCTCAGTTGGTTAAGCGACTGCCTTCGGCTCAGGTCATGATCCTGGAGTCCCGGGATCGAGTCCCACATTGGGCTCCCTGCTCAGCAGGGAGTCTGCTTCTCCCTCTGACCCTCTTCCCACTCGTGCTCTCTATCTCTCATTCTCTCTCTCTCAAATAAATAAATAAAAAGCTTTAAAAAAATTAATAAAGATCTTAATACATAGCTAGCTATATCATGTTCATGGATTAGAATACAGAATATTAAAAGCTTTTCAGTTCTTCCCAGATTTATCTATAGATTTGATAAAATTCTAATCAAAATTGCAATGTTACTTTGTGGAGCTCAATACACTGATTCTAAAGTATATATGAAAGAGTAAAGGGCTGAGGGTTGGAAGGGGATGGAGTAGCAGAGTATTCTATCACAAATCAAACTTTATTATAAGGCTATAGTAATTAAGACAAAATATTTAAAGCAGCTTTTTTCATTTAGTTCCATATCTCACCAATTTTTGGTGTGTTCAATCTTACTATCTGAACTCTTTTAGAGGGTATGCACTAGCTTTTTTATGTTTCATGCTTATATGGTGTATGGTTGTATTCGATCCTTTTACTATCAACCTATCTGTGGCTTTATATTTCTTATAAACTGCAGTCTTGCTTCTTCTCCACTGTGACAACATGTGCCTTAAAGTTCTAGTATTCAGTCCACTTAGATTTAACGTAATGCTATAGTTGGAGTTAGGTCTACCATCTTCATATTTGTTTTCTATCAATCTCACCTGTTCTTTTGTTTCTCTTTTCTTGTCTTCTGAATGAATCATGTATTTTTCAGTATCTCTGTGTTTTCTACTGTGTTGATTCTTTTTTATTCAAAACTAGTTTTTAGTGGTTGCACTTGGCTATACACAATCATCTTTAATTTATCAGAGTCTAATTCCAAATATACACTTCACAACAGTGTTTAGAAACTTATAACTATATGATTTCATTTATACCCCACCCACCCTTTGTACTCTTATCTCATATTTTACTTCTAAATATGCTATAAATCTCAATGCATTGTTAATATTTTTGCTTTAAAAAGTCAGTTGTCATATGCGGCACCTGGGTGGTGCAGTCAATTAAATGTTAGAATCTTGGTTTTGGTTCATAATCTCAGGGCCATGAGATCAAGCCCCGAGTTGGGCTCCCCACTCAACCTGGAGTCTGCTTGAGATTCTCTCTCCCTCTTCCCCCACACTTCCTGCTTGTGCTCTCTCTCTCTCTCTCAAATAAATAAATAAATCTTTAAAAATGTCAATTGTCATAAAGATATATAGGTATATAAATATCAAGTGGTAACAAAATACGTCTTTTATATATACATATCCTCCTGAGTATGCTTTATTTCTGTTTGCATATCCAGAGTTCTTCCCGAACTCATTTCCATTCAGCCTGAAGAATGTCTTTGAATTTTCTTGTATAATAAGTTTTCTCAGCATTTGTCTGTATAAAAGTCTTCCTTTTTTCCCTTCATTTTTGAAGGATATTTTTCACTGAATACAGAATTATAGGATGACAGCTGGTTTTTGTTGTTTTTAAAGTAATTTATAAAAACATCATTCCATTATCTTATGGCCTCTTACCATTTTGGGTAAGAAGTCAGCCATTATTCATGCCGTTGTTCTCATATATACAATGTATCTTGTCTGTAGCTGCTTTCAGAATTTGCTCTTTATCTTTGGTTTTCAGCACTTCTATTATGTGATTAGGTGTGATTTCCTTGTATGTATCCTTTTTGTGGTTCAAGGGAGCTTCTTGGATTTCTGGGATAATGTCATTCGTTAATTTAGGGGTGTTCTTGGACATTATCTCTTCAAATATTTCTTCTGCACCATTCTGTTTTTCCTTTCCTTCTAGGAGTTTAAAAACACATATATGATACTGTTTAATATTGTCCCACAGATCTCAATCTATTTATTCTTTTTTTTAACCCTACTTCTTTCTTTGTATTTCTGTTTGTATATTAAACTGTCTTCAAGTTATCTACTTGGCTTTTCCCACTTTACTCTTGAATCCATCAAATAATCTTTTTATTCCTGATATCATATTTTTTATATCTAGCATTTTCACTTATTTTTTATCATTTACATATCTCAGCTGAAATTCCCTATCTCTGCCCTCATGTTGCCCATCTTTTCCACTAGGTCCTTCAGCATTTTTATGAGTTTTTTTCTCTTTAGCCATGCTTGGGTTCTTAACACTGACAAGATTCCAGAGATCTCTTTGTACTTTACAACTGGCCACCACCTTTCCAAACCCAGGAGAGCTGTCTCTGCTCTACAGCCTAGCCCGCCAACTTTTGATCACTGAGGGATTCTTTCCTCTCTCATCTTGCTCCAGATTTTCATGCTCTGGGAGATCTCTCTATCTCGCTCTGTTGCTTCCCTGTCCCAAGTCTGTAAAGGCCAACCATGTGTCAGAGGGAGAGTTTCCCTCAGCTCTCTTACCCACTCCCAGCCTATGGTAGCTGAGAATCCAGAATGCAGATGGATTTCTCTCAACTTTGCTGCCTTGATGCCTGCCCCCTCCTTGTCTTCAGAGGATTACTGCTTTATATTTGGGAGAGGCCTGAATGCCTCAGGGGAATCTATCAGCTCCCCTGCCTTGTCCCAAAACCTTTTGGCTTCACTTCACTAAGTGAAGATCTATGGGAAAGTTTGTGGTGGGTAAAAACTCATTCCTTGGAATTCCCACCTGTCATATTTATGATGGATTCCCATCCCTCTGCCAAGAATAAAAATAACTATGTGTCTTTTCTATGAAGGGCTCATCATTTTGTTACTAATATATTTCCTCTTCAAGGATTGTCTCACACTCATTTAAAGCAACATAAACTCTAGACTTTAAATTGAATCTTCATTTGATAAAATGACTTTTTACTGAAATGACTCTTTACCAAATAGTCTGTTTCTTTGGTTACCAGTTTGATATCTGTCTACATCCTGTTTGAGTATATCCATTACTAAATGTGTGTACATTACATAAACTTAAGGAGACAAGATGTGCCCAAGAGACTCCTTTTGGTCGTCATGAACATAGAAGTTACATGTTAAGTAAAAATCTCTAAGAATTAGAAACAGTTGAGAAGGAGAGATAGGGAAAAAGGGGGACCTTGGATCTCTAAATGAAATTAGGCCCACTGAATTTCAGACATAGTAGTCTCTCAGTGGCCTTCCTCTCTAACAGCCTGTGTTCATAAAAGGGTGGTATTGATTTGTCTAAGGTTTTCAGTTCTGTCTTCTCTTTATCCCATATCCAAGGAAACTATAATTCCAAAAATAACTTAATGTTTGAAGTGTCTTTATATCTTGACAGTAATGAACATGGAAGGGGCACTCGTGGCCAGAGTGGATAAATACATAAGAAAAGAGAAGGCTGATATTCTCTGAGGGTCAATTTAAAAGGAAATTAAGATGAATTATTTCTACAGATAGAAACAATATATCAAAGAATAAAATTGCTGAAATGATTTATACTTATGAATACATATATTTCTATGTGATATATTTCAATGCCTGGAGTATTATTCAGAAATACACTAAAAGTTACACCTTAGTAGTTACTACATTTTAAATATAGCAAATTAGAAGACCAGAATTGTTAGGAATGTCCCTAAAACCAAAGATCTTCTAATTATTTTCTATTTTGTTATAGGCTAAAAGAAGAAGTAGCATGGCAATCTGGACAGAAAATGAAGTTTATCTTGGATATACTTTTCTTAAATTTGTCAAAATAATAACTACTGAAAAACTGAAAAATCTTCTAAATATATCATCAGCTGCTACACTGACTATACACAATGTCGAGTATCCAGGACACCCTTTGGAACTTGCCTTATTATTAAATTACTGCACTGCGTGTAACATCAACAAAACAATTTACGTGGTAATATACAATGAAGATACAGAACAGTGGGTGTACCAAGACTTTGCATTAGATGTCTCTACTGACAGTTTTTTAACCCCACATTTTATATACGCAGCACTGCCAGATTTAATACTGCAGGACAAACATCAGATCTACTATTGTTATCACAATTTCACCGAGACGGGAGTTTTACAAACACCTACAGAATTTGGAAATCTATCAAGATTGTCACATAACAGCCTTATTCATGATATTTTCATAGGTGAGACATTCTCATTCTGCAAAAATTATTCTAAATTTTATAGTAGACATCTTCCTTATGAAGATGTAACAATTATAAATACACTCATATATGATGCTTTTGGTAGGTAAAAGTGCATTTTTTACCACCTAAAAATGGATATCTTTTTAAGTTCTACCAAGGTTATCTCACATAGTGAAATGGCAAACTCAAGTTTTGGGTTTTTCCCATAGATTCATTTTGGTCATTCAGCAGATACTAACTAACAACCTACACAAGCATTTTCAGCGCAGGAGGTGATATGGTGTTGTCTTCATTTCCTAGGGCTCCCTAGGGCTACCACAAACTGGGTAGCTTAAAACAACAGAAATTTATTGTCTCAGTTTTAGAGAGTTGAAGTCCCCATTCAAGTTGTCAGCAATGCCACGTTCCTTCTGAAACCCAAAGAGGGGGGCACTCTCATTGCTTCCTCCTAGCTTCTGGTGGCTTGCTGGCAAACCTTGCCATTCCTTGGCTTGCAGCTGCATCATTCCAACCTCTGCCTTCATCACAACATAGCATTCTCCCTGTGTCCTCACATGCCATCTTGTTGCAAGGACACAGGGCCCAACCTACTCCAGTGGGACCTCATCTTAACTAATTACCTCTGTACTGATCCTATTTCCAATTAAGGTCACATTCTGAAGTAATACTGGGAATTAGAATGTCAACATCGTTCCCTAAGGGACACAATTCAACCTATAGCAGGTGTTGTAGAGTTGAATGGACCCATATTCCTAACCAGGAGCAAGTCATTGAACCTTTGCAAGTCTCATTTTCTAATCTAGAATATAGGGTGGTTGTGTTGATTGGATAAGGGATTGTAAGTAAAATGTTTAGAATAAAACTGCACATGTGGTAAACCTTCAGCTAACAGTAGTTATTCTGAATCTTATTATTCCCGAGGTAGTATACTAAACATTATAGGCAATGCAAAGAAATAGGAAGTTCAATCCTCAAAAAGTGTGGTTAGGAGATAGCCTTAACCATGGAATTTAAAGGAAATGTAGCTGTAATTCTTTCTTTTAAAAGATTTTATTTATTTGTTATTAAATAGAGAGAGCGTGTGTGAGCAGGGGGAGGAGCAGAGAGAGAGTGACAAGCAGACTCCACACTGAGCCCAGAGCCTGACACAGGGCTCAATCCCACAACTCTGGGATCATGACCTGAGCTGAAATCAAGAGTCAGATGCTTATCCAACTGAGCCACCCAGGCGCCCCTTGTCTTTCTTGACGCCTATCACCTGGCAAACTATCACTCCCAACCAGTTGATTTTTATGCTCCCCTTTACAACAAAACTCTAAAAAATATTGCCTAGTTTCACTTCTTCATCTTTCCTCCCTTTATCTTGAAGCCACTCTAATCAAATACTCCATGGGAAGTGCTCTTGTCAAGGTTCTTAACAACCTCCACTTTGCTAACCCATTGGCCAATTTTCAGCCATCCTCCATGAGCTGGCATTCAGCAGGGCCTGATTCCTTTTTTTTTTTTTTCCAAAGATTTTATTTATTTGACAGAGAGGGAGAGAGCACAAGCAGGGGGAGCAGCAGGCAGAGAAAGCGGGAGAAAGAGGTTCCCCACTGAGCAAGGAGCCTGATGTGGGGCTCGATCCCAGGACCCTGGGATCATGACCTGAGCCAACGGCAGACGCTTAACTGACTGAGCCACCCAGGTGACCCTAGCAGGGCCTGATTCTTGAAATAACTTTTTGTCACCTGACTTCTGAGGTGTCACTCTTTTGCCCTTCCTGCTACTTCACTAGCTACGCCTCCTCAGCCTCTTTCCCTGATCCCTCATCTTCCTGATTCCCAAATGGAGAAGCACCTCAGGGTCTAGTTTTCAGACATCTTCTGGAGCTCTGTTTCCATGCACTCTGCCCTCCGGCCATGACTCCTATCCTGACTCCAAGCTCCTATTCCCACCTGCCTCTGGGATACCTTCACTTGGATGACTAGTAGGCATCTCAGATTTAACATCCAAGAATGAATCCCTGAGTCTCACTCCTATCTCAACCTGCTCCTTGCCTAGTCCTTTCCTATCGAGTAAATATCACCTCTCCCAGTCTTTCCAGCTGCAAAAACCTTGACCTCATCCTCAAATCCTTCCCTTTCACATCCCACAACTAATCCCTGGGCAGCTCCCCTTGGCTCTATCTAAAACATCTACCTAAAAGCTAACCCCCTTCCACCAGTTCCACTCCAGTCCAAGCCAGTGTCCTCTCCAGCCCATACATGCAAGAGCTTTTTACATGCTCTCCCTGCCTCCACCCTTCCACCCCAAGCCCCACCATTAGAGTCCACCTAGCAGCTAATGTTAGCCTTTGAAAACATATGCAAAAATCACATTATTCCTCAGCTTAAAACCCTCATTCGGTTTTCTATTATCAATTTGGATTTGGATAAAATCCAACACCCTTACTATGGCCTGAAAAGCAGTATGTGGTGTGACTCCACACTCTGATGTCCTCTCCTGTCACTTAACCCTCTGTTCGCTGTTACCTCGTTGCAGACTGGGCTCTTTGCTATTCCTTGGATAGCTACTGTTTCATATGCCAGATAATTCTTCACTTTGATGTCTGCATGACTCTTACATTTAATTCAGGTTTGAGTCCAAATGCCACCTGATTGGGGAGCTCTTCCCTGACCCTGCCCTAGCTCCTGTGCTCTGGCCCGTACACTTTGTTTTGTTCACAGAGCTTCTCATTACCTAACAAACTACATGTGTGCTTGTTCTAAATTAACTGAATCTTCCATGAAAAAACAAGCTCTGTGTGACTTTGTTATATTTGCTGCTTTGCCCACAGTGTCTAAAATAATATATAATAGGTCCTTTTTTGAATAAATGGATGAACAAATATTCATTGAACATGCACTATTGGTGAAGCGCTCTGCAGGGAGGTGGAGATAGCGTAGAAGTTGGACACAATTCTCACCTTTTCTTCTTCTTCTTCTTTTTTTTAAAGATTGATTGATTTGAGAGAGAGAGTGTGTTTGTATAAGGGCAGGGGGAAGGGCAGAAAGCATCTTAAGCAGACTCTATACTGAGCATGGAGCCCCACACAGGGCTCACAACCCTGAGATCACAACCTGAGCCGAAACCAAGATTCAGATGCTTAACCAACTGAGCCACCCAGAAGCCCCAGAATTCCCACCCTTTCAGAGTTTACAAAATTGCAAAGGATAAAGACAAACATGCAATAAAGCAACATGGCTAATGCTATGACAGAGCCAACATCAGGTGCTAGAGAGGCACACAGATCGAGTACCTTACCCAATCTAGGGGAGAGGGAGGTACAGAAGGCTTCCTTGAAGAAGTGCTGTCTAAGCTGAGTCCTGCTGAATGGGTAGAGGTTAGTTAGGCAGTGAAGACAACAGTGGGGATGGGGTGCCCAACAACCCAGAGACAGAGACAACAGGGTACAATCCAGGCCTTGAAAGACAATCCACTGCTGAAACAGAGTTCTCCATAGAGAAAAAGGAGAAATCTCTCCTGGAGAAATCAAGTTCAGGTTATGAGAGTCCTCATAAGCCATGTGAAGAAATCAGACCTTCTCCTAAGGCCCATATAGGGTTTTAAAGAGTTTTGAGCAAAAGAGAAGCAGAATCATATTTGTGTTTTTAAAAGGCCACTGGCCACAGTGATAAGGAGATAAAGTTAGAATAATCAACAGGGGATAAGTTTTAGAGGGACCTAGAAGGCTGAATGTTTTACCGAGAGCCATTTGGAAATGCTGAAATAAAAAGTCTAACCTGTCCATAAGCATATGAAAGATGAATTTAAAAGCCTTCAGCCTGCAGCATTTCCATTTCTGAACCCACTATTTAAAAGTTGTCATGAGGGTACCTGGCTGACTCAGTTGATGGAGAATGCGACTCTTGATCTTGGGGCCATGAGTTCAAGCCCCACATCGGGTGTAGATGGGTGTCTTTAGTCAATTTTAGAAGTTTGTGTTTCCTTAGGAAGTCACTCATTTTATCTGGATTTTCTAATAAACTGTATTGGCAAAGGTTTCCCATTTTAATTTTTAGACTGCTTATCATCTGTAATAGTATTCCCTTTCTCATTTATGATGTTGTCTGTACCCCACCCCTTATTACTTTGGCTTGCAAAATATTGTTTCTTATTCTTATGGTTTTTGGTTTTGTTTTCTTTTCCTTTGAAAGGAACTCTTGGCTTGTTTGTCAAATCTTCTTTCTATTTAATTCCTTAATTTCTGCTTTTGTCATTCTTGAATCTTCACTTGTGCTTTCTTTTTATAACTTTGGTGTCTGTTGCCTGCTTCTTATGGTAAATGATTAGTTCATTTATTTTCAGTGTTGTTTTCTAAGCACTTAAAACTACAAATAAACATAAGACTATACATTCTTCTCACTGTTGTTTTAGCTGCATCCACAAAACTTTATATATAGTGTTTTTAATCTCATTTGCAAATAATTCCTAATTTTCATCTTAACTTCACATTTAATCCAAAGTTCATTTAGTAATTTTTTTTTTTATTTTTTATTCATGAGAGACAGAGAGAGAGAGAGAGACAGAGAGACAGAGAGGCAGAGGGAGAAGCAGGCTCCCAAGGAGCAGGGAGCCTGATGCGGGATTCGATCCCGGGACTCCGGGATCATGACCTGAGCCGAAGGCAGACGCTTAACCATCTGAGCCACCCAGGCACCCCATTTAGTAATGTTTTAATGAGCAGGGCGCCTGAGTGCTCTGTTGGTTAAGCATCCGACTCTTGATTTCAGCTCAAGTCATGATCCCAGGGGCCTGGGATCCAGCCCCACATCAGGCTCCCTGCTCAGTGGGAGTCTGCTTGTCTCCCTCTCTCTGTGCCCCTCACCTCCTTGTGCTCTCTCTCTCTAAAATAAATAAATAAATCTTAAAAAAAATAATGTTTTAAGGAGCAGCGTGACAGGCAGGAGAGTGACATCTAGTCCACATTTATGAGATTAGGAAAGCCCGCATAGAGGAAATGCCTTCTCAACTGAGAACAGGAAACGGGTACATATTAGAAAAATTAGATCAACAGTCAGGATGGGAGCTGAAGTAGCAAAGACCCAGAGGCAGGAGAGAACATGGCAAGTTTGCAGAACTGAAATTTGTTGTGAATCACTAGGTGGTATGTGAGCCCGAAAGTGGCAACCGAAAAGGCTGGCTGAAAAACACAGGACTGCATCACCGCATGACCTGGACATTATCTAAAATCCAAGAGCAACATATATTTTTTGTTTTGTGAGGTTTTGAGTTTTATGTATCATCAGACTGTGTGTATCCTGCATGTACTTTTCTCACTCAACATCCAGATAGATTTTGTTAGGTCATCTGCCTGCATTTTGTCTCCTTCTACCTGGTGAAATTTCTAGAAACACACACACAAAGCACAGCAGGCCAAGAATTTGGTAAGCCTGGAGGGAGGAAAAACAAAACAAAATTAAGTTTATAAAGTAAGTTATATGAGAAAAATTACCTCGTCACTGTGTTGCCCAAAGTACCTCAACTTCCCAAGTCACCGACATGTTAGTGCTGGGGTTTGATGCCCCGTGTGTGTTGCCTCAGCAGGAAGGGCATTTTACCCTTGCAGTTATACTAAAACACTCTGAAAATTATTCCGAGCTGCATATTAACCTTACCGATCAACATAACAATTTCACCAGCATTATCATATGGTTGAACCCTACTGACAACATCATCACTACATGAGAGCTTAAGGTTATAAGGACATGTATGTGGACAGTGATGTCTCATTAAAGTATTCTGATCCTAACAACAATTGACATTGCTGATTTAGGAGTTTTACAGTAATTTGTGAAAATGCCACTTATTTATTCAAATTTCAAATGTAAGATGCATAAGCACAATACACTCTGAACCTTCCTCACTCTATGAATTGAACTTCCTCCTTTTAGTCAGTCCCCTTAAAGTGTTGTTGTTGTTGTTGTTTTAAATTAGGGAAAGTATACCCCTAGAAGCTATCCACGGAGAATGTCGTGTCTGGAAAAAAGCTATGAAATCAACTAGTCCAGCTGTTCATTTTACAGATACAGCTACTACCAAAGAATTTGAGACTTATTGTCTGTGAACCTCTGTGACTTAGACATAATACTCCGTTAAGGGAAGGAAGTTGGTTATTATTTATAGAGTGAACCTGAAGACATACCAGCACACACACACATACACACACACACACATTTCTTTATCCCAGTTGTACAGTCTGCTACAACTACCGTAACAAGAGGTCATGGGCTGCATGGCTTAAACAATAGAAATGTATGTTCTCACAGTTCCGCAGCCTAGAAGTCCAAGATCAAGGTGATATCAAGGTTGGTTTCTGGTGAGGACCCTCTTCCTGGCTTGGAGATATGGGCCACCTTCTTACTGTGTCCTCACATGGCCTTTCCCCTGCCTGCATGCACAGAGAGATCTTATGTCTTCCTCCTCTTACAAGAATACCAGTCATGTTGGACTAGGACCCTTATGACCTAGTTTAGCCTTCATTACCTCCCAAAAGACATCGTCACCAAATACAGTCACAATGCAAGCTGGGGTTTCAACCTATCCATTTGGGGGGGGGGACACAATTCCATCTATAGCACAATGCTTCCTAATAATACTATTCCTGCATGTCTATGCTCATTATTATTTAGTGCACTAATTCCAGCTTTTTATATAAGTGGTGTCATATATAAAGTGATGTCATAAGTACAAGAAGAAATATATCCAGGAAAAGAATTGTTCTACTATGAAGTGGGAGAGAAGCTCTCCAGCATCACATAAAGTTGCAGGTTTGTGTCTGCACACTCTAATTTTCTCAAAACAGATAAATCCTTCATTACTACAAAAGAAATTATTATGGTTAAAAGTGCATGGATTTATGGTTACTTAGAATAAAACAAACTTTTCTCCTTCTTTTCCAGATTATTATGGAAATATTGTGGTAAAAATGGAAAATAACATAATGTTTTATTTCAAGATCAATATTAGAGCTGCAATAAAACTACATTTATGGACAAATAGTACAATGAAGTCATTAATTTTATTGAGTTCATCTGCTCAAATATATCTCATATACGTTTTTGAAAATGGCACAGTACAGCCACAGGAATATCCTTTAAAACTGGAATCACAAAGTGTACATTTCACTACAAAAGAAAAATGCCCCTACGTGGCATTTCATAATAATATTTTAAATGTTTTTTACTTTTTGGACAAGGGACAGAACCTGTCCATTTGGGCTCAAATAGTCTATCCAGAAAATGTTGGTCTGTACATTGTTGTGGAATCATACGGCCCAAATATATTACAAGAGAAAAATCAGATTCACTATGAAATCGCCCTAGGATACTGCACTAAAACCACGGTAAGTTAATATTATAAAATTTATTCATTTGATTGTAAAAAATGTAAAATTAAAATATTTACTTTTTTTATCCTTTCACAAAAAATATAGTATCTAACATCATCAGTGACATTCAATGAAGTTTTCTGATAACAAACATTTATCCTTAATTTTATGTCATCTTGACTCTTGTTGCAGTAATTTCTGTTAGCTGATTGTGGTAAAAATGTTTGATTTGAAAAGAAACTGAAACTTTCTTCATCTGTTATAAATATATATATATACATATATTTATAAACATTTAAAACAGACTTTCCTTCTAGGTTTAGCTTAGAAAATGTTGAGAAATATACAAGTTTTTAATAAATAGTAATATGATAAGCCATTAGCTCCTGAGCCACAATTTTCACTTTCAATATCCAAGGCAAATATCTTTGCCGCCTAAAAGCACTCTCCTGCAGAACTCTTTGATTGTCAATTGTATTATTGCTTCCTTTTTTTTTTTAAACACATGGCTTTGTGTAGACTTCTCTCTGCTATCTTTTGTACTATATAACACCACCCCAAAACCTGACGGCTTCAAACAGCACCCAGTTCTATTTGTCAATAATTTGGGTTGTGATAGCTGGGCGATAGTGCTGGTTTCATCTGTCTGGATTCATTTATGAGGTGGTCATCTGGTAGCTTGTCTGGGACAAGGTTATCTAAGATGGCCTCAACCACACGTCAAGTGGTAGGTGCATGCACTGGCTTGTGTGAATAAGGGGCCTCAGCTGAGCACTTGTCTCTGATCCATGTGGCCTCTATAGTCCAGGCCAGAGCTGGCTTTCTCCCAAGAGAGTCTCAGGGCAGTATTCCAACACAGTACGAGCAGATTCCAGAAGGCCTCTTGAGGCCTATGTTTGGCCACGTTCTATTTGCCAAAGCAATTCACAAGTCCAGCTTACGTTAACAGGATGGATAAATAGAGTCTACCTATTGACGGAAGAACAGCAAACTTACCCTATAAAGGGGGTGCCTACAGGAATGGGAGCTAACTTTGCAGACGATCCAGCACAATTAGGTACAAATGTACTGTATATGTTATTTTGTAGACTACTTTCCAATGAACATTACAGCATGACCATTTTACATGCTACTACAATTCCTTCCCAAACACTGTATATTCTATTTCCCACCTTCTTTTTCTGGGCTCAGATTTCTTTAGCATATACAGTAGTGGGCATCTTAACAGATGCAATGGAATGAAATGTTCAGTTAATTCCAAAATCAGTTAAAACAGAGAATCATAAAAAAGGAAACTGGTATGAATGAAACATTGGACTTTAACTTAAATAAATGTATGTACATTCATTAGTCAACCTTTTAAAATAGGACCACAGACTTTTCTTTGAAATAAGTCAACTTACTGGAGAATCTCCTCTCCTTTCTTGCATAACCTTATTCATAATGCATTATCTCTGAGTTCCCACTTCTGTTTCTTTAAAGGCGGGGGGGGGCGCCTGGGTGGCTCAGCTGGTTAAGCCTCTGATCTCTGGGTCCTGGGATCAAGCCCTATGTCGGGCTCCCTGCTCAGCAGGGACTCTGCTTCTCTCTCTCCCTCTGCCTCTCCTCCCACTCTCACTCATGTTCTCTTTCTCTCTCAAATAAATAAAATCTTTTAAAAATAGAGGAGGGAAAAAAATTAATGACACTGGCAAAGCCATCAAAATTGTAGATTTTTTCATTTTTTCCAACTTCTTACTGTTATCTTGCTCATACCTAATTCAGCAATTTCTTCAGGGACTTGTTTCATTAAAACTTTCCAGAGCAATCCATTTTGTTCTCAGGGAAATAATAACTCTACTTTCCTTTTATACTCAATTTCATCAGTCCATAATATTTAATTCCACAACTACCATAATACCACAATCTGGCATAAACAGGCTTAGAAATACAGAGAGCTGATTTAGATTTGCATACAGACATATGGATAGATCTTAAAACAGTGTCGAGTGGAAAATAGCGTCAAGTAAGAAACTGAGATCCATCATAGAGAAATGTTTACAAAATTTGCAAACACCTACACGTAAATCACAAGCAACAAAAAGAAAAGCGTTATTCATTTTACATGGACACCAAGATCCCAAGGACAGATATCAGATCAAATATATCATATGTCATCAAATATGATGACATCGTGCTTGTTTGATATATGTTATGGGGGCCTGCACATAGGGGGAAGAGGAAGAGCGGAAGGGAATGGTGGAAGAAGATACAGGGAAAAAGTAAAACATAATAAATTAAATTAAATAAGACTGGATTGATCATGTTTCAAGATGTAACTCACTTTTCTGAAACTGGGGTACCCCCTTCCTTCCAGAACAAGAACAGAAAAGATTTACACTCTTCTTCAGCCCAGGAAAGTTTTAATTATCTAGCTGCAATATCTGCATAAGCTCTCATAAGTTTTCTTTCCAAGAATGGGCTGTATAATGTACATTTGCCCATTTGCAATTCAGAACTTCAAAATATAGTTACCAATCAAAATATACAAATGACCAAGGACAATGAAATGTTAAAATTTGCATGTTTTGATAAAATACTGTCTCTGTCATTTATCAGCTGATAACATTAAGCAAGTTTTTTAAAATTTGATTCCATAAAAATCTTAATTTATTAAGATTGCTTTTACATCTAATTTTTTATTAAGTTATTTTAATTACAGTACAGTTAACATATAGTGTTATGTTAGTTTCAGGTGTACCAATACAATGATTCAACAATTCTATACATCACCCAGTGCTCATCATGACAAGTGCACTCCTTAATCCCCACCACCTGTTTCCCCCAACCCCCCACCTCCTCCTCTTTGGTAACTATCACTGTGTTCTCTAGAGTTAAGATTCTGTTTTCTGGTTTGTCCCTTTCTCTTTTTTTTCCCCTTTGCTCATTTGTTTTATTTTTTAAATTCCACACATGAGTGAAATCATATAATATTTGTCTCTCTCTGATTCATTTCACTTAGCATTATACTCTCTAGTTCCAAAAATGGCATTGCAAATGGCAAGATTTCATTCTTTTTAATAGCTGGATAATATTCCATATATATAGATACCATTTTGTAAATAATGCTGCTATGAACATAGGGGTGCGTGTATCACACCTGTGAGAATGGCCAGAATCAAAAACAGAGGCAACAATAGGTGTTGGCGAGGACGTAGAGAAAGAGAACCCTCTTGCACTATTGGTGGGAATGCAAACTGGTGCAGCCACTGTGGAAAACCAGTATGGAGTCTCCTCAAAAAGTTAAAAATGGAAATACCCTATGATCTAGTAATTACACTACTGGGTGTTTACCCAAAAAACACAAAAACACTAATTCAAAGGAATTAGCAAGTTTTTTAATCTTTCTATGCCTTAGTACTTTCCATCTAAGTAATGATAATAAAAACAATATGTTATATGTAATATAATATCTAATTAATATATAATTATGTTCACATGTTAATATAATATATTGTTTTATATATTAACTATATTTTATATAATAATATAATAATTATTGTCATAATATTTACTTCATAAGCTTATTAGGATTAAATGAGTTTATATACGTAAAGGACTTAGAGGTGCCCCTGGCACATAGCAAACAGTATGTTTACATGTTATTACTACAACTATACTCACAACTGTCATCAATCCTAGACCACATTTTTTAACATCTATGAAATCAGGATGAGTCTTACATCCTGTGGCATCTTAGATTTGATGAATTACAGTAGTAATATGATAACCTTGCTTATTTTGTGCAGATTGAGTCAATGCAACTTCACAGACTAATCATTGCATGTACTAGCTAGTACGGTTGCCAAGTATCCTACCTAATTATTCGATTTTGAAAAAAAAAAAACCTGAATATAACACCTATACACAAAAGTGGATAACTTTAAATTTGAAAAGTTTTTAGTGCTACTAGCTGGTTTCTTAGTGATATTTACACCAAAAATTAGTTTTCAAATTTTAAAAATGATTTGAACATCTTAATTGACATGGTCCCTTTTTTAAAATTGAGGTATATTTTTTATAATTGACATATAACAATATATTCGTTTCAGGCATGCAGCATAATGATTTGACGTTTGCATATGTTGCGAAATGATCACCACAATAAGCGTACTTAACATCCATGACTACACATAGTTACAATTTTTTTTTCTTGTGATGAGAATTTTTAATGTCTATTCTCTTAGCAACTTTCAAATATACAAAATAGTCTTATTAATTGTAGTCACCATCGGTACATTACATTACCATGACTTACTTGTTTTATAAGTGGGAGTTTGTACCTTTTGACTACCTTCCTCCATTTTGCACACCAACCACCCCCACCTCTGGCAAGGATAAAATTGGTCTCTGTATCTTTGAGTTGGGGGGTGAGGTTTCTGTTGGTAGGGGGAGTGTTTAGATTCCACATATTAGTGAGATCATACAGTATTTATCTTTCTGTGTCTGGCTCATTTCACTTAGCATAATGCCTTCAAGATTCACCCATGTTGTTGAAATAGGCAGGAATTCCTTGATCTTTTTTTTTTTTTAAGATTTATTTATTTTGAGAGAGAGAGAGCAAAATTTCCTTCTTATGACTGAATAATATTGCATTCTGTGTATGCAGGAGAGAGAGAGAGAGCGACATAGGTGGCTTTCATGTCTTGGCTACTGTAAATAATGTTGCAATGGACCTGGGGGTGCAGATATCTTTTCAAGTTAATGTTTTTATCACCTTTGGGTAAAGTAATGTTTTTTCCTGAGGTTTTATCTTGTTCTTTCATTTAGAGCATATTCCTCTGTTTCTTCATCTTTTTTTCTTGGCTCTCTGTGTTGGTTTCTTTTCTTTTTTTAAAGATTTTATTTATTTGTAAGAGAGAGAGAACTCAATCAGGGAGAGTGGCAGGCAGAGGGAGAAGCAGGCTCCCCGCTGAGCAAGAAGCCTGATGCGGGACTTGATCCCAGGACCCTAGGATCATGACCTGGGCTGAAGG